TTAAAACAACAATATTGTATTGATCTGCCCTGAATGATAAACACAAATGTGTTGGTAAAACACAGTCTCTTTTGACCTTTAGCAATTACTTTTACATGGCTTTAGCAGTACTGTAGATGAAAAAACAATGTCCAACTCATTTTCTTTTGTTGTTTTTTTTCTTATTTTTGCGTGTAACTATACCCACATCTTATTCAAGTACAGCTGGCTTACATAACCAAAGATTTTAGTTAAATTTCACAGATGTTGCACTTTACAATGTGGTAATCACAGTAAACACATCACGACTACATGATGCTGTGGCATTGCTATAGTAGACTTACAAGATTTGACTCAGAAATACTGTTTCAACCATATGGGAGCAACTTAAAATTTTGAATATGCTTTTGACCTTTTTTTGATGGGTGTTTTGCCAAACATCATACCCATAAGGAATATCAAGTGTGCATCCCCTAATGAGATGACAAAATGTCTTTAAGTCGTGAATATTGGGTCTTTGTTTCCACCATTCCAATTCCATCAAGCTGCCTAACTATCCTCAGTTCTATGAATAAGTGTGCTACTGCTGTAATATAAGATATCCCATGAACACAATGGGATTAAACCAGTCTATAAATAAAAATCACAATTCGGCCTCATAATAGACAGCAAACAACTCAGATGCCTGCTTATAGAATCTCAGTTATCAGTAAGTTGTCTGACAGAGTTGAAGTGTGTTGTGAAGACCCACGATTAGACCCTCTTGACCTTTCCTCTGACCTTTAGAAAGTGTGACTTTTTGGGGGCGCTACAACCACTGGTAAGTATAGTAAGGTAATCAAGTAAGCTAAACTCCAATTTTGGAAATCTCTCTATACTTTATATTCTGCTAGTTTGGAAGAGAACATAGAACCCTGTAGACAAATAGAAAGAAATCTAATTGTCCTTTTTTTGAGTTTAGAATAATTTTAGAATACTTCTATGCACCTACGCATATCATATGAAAAAGAGTAGTTTGAGACGGGATATCATTTTTCTATCTATACATACACACTCAAAGTTTAGTCCATCAGACTGAGATGGCTGAGATGGTGAAAAGCGATGCCCCTCAGGCTGAAACCTCTTGACCTACAGAACCACTGCAGGGAAGTGATGATAGAGGCCTGATAGGGGCCAGTCACTGGGGCCTAAAGGCACATCCTGGACATGTCCTTTTGGCACTAGGGCTCTGAACATAGCCAGAAATACACACACATGATCACACACACACACACACACCACCACACACTACACACACACACCACACAACACAAGACCATTCTCCAAGCCAGTGGAGGAAGAATAAGAGAAGGCACTTCGATTTAAAAGTAGGGGTAAAGTATTCTGCACCTCTTCCTGACAGCTGTGGCAGGGCGTCCTGGTGGCTGGTGACTGATGACGAGAAAGATGCAACTCTCACTCATCAAAAACATGGAGCTCTTATCTTCTCTACTCTGCTTGGGGTATTACTCTGTATTATATCAATATATTCATTTGCTAAGATCAGCCGTGCCAAGAATTCACATAAACTGACATTTAGATGTAATTTAAACCTCAGAAGAAAATAAAAAAAATAGAAGAAAAAATGTTTTTGAAATGATATGATTACACACCTACGGGCTATTTTGTTTATCGTGGCTGTGAATTTATATTTTCTAATAATAATGTGCTTCATTTTAATTGGAATAAAAGGCCATTCCATTGATTCTTGAAAGGGGACGTTGAGGCCATAACAGCATTAAGCCTTCTGCTTCTGTGTGTGTGTGTGTGTTTGTGTGTGGTCCCTCCACACTGCTCCTTGTGTGAGGTCATGCTTCAAATTTTCATTTAAGTTTTGATCACATTACCGCTATTCTCACCATATTAACGTTAGTCAATGAATAGATTAAATATTCAATTAAGCCTGTGTGTTTGTGTGTGTGCAGCAAGCATTCGAATGGGACTGCGTGTGTGAGTTTTGAGTGTGTGTATGTTGATGTGTAATGATGTGTAAATATATTTATGGCTCAGGGTCACTGTGGTATTAACCTGACCCAGACTCCCTCTCTCTCTCTCTCTCTCTCTGGGGAAGCTTCATGCTGCTGATTGTTCTGTGTTTCAGCTTTTGTGGGCCTTTGACCACTAGGAGCACAGCAGAATGTGTGTTTGACAGGATGAAAAAAAAAAGTAAAGAAAGATGGAATAAAACATTTAGGATATCATTTGAACCACTGTGGAAAAAACTTATCTTCAGACAATCGTGTTGCACAGGACTAGTGGTTTAGAAAGTGAGATAAAGCTTTGTATGAATCCCTTGACTCAGCTACCTCACAGAAGGACTACATACTGCGCTTACTTACGTGCTGCTTTTACCAAGTGGGGAAGGTATTCAGTTAAATGTCCCATCAGTCAGGCATATGCCAAAGGCTTACATCTTATTCAAGTTTTAAACCTCTAATTGGTAACGTTTAAAAGGCGTTTAAGAGTGCCCTTTCTTCTCCCTTTTCTCATTTCCCATTTAATGTGTTGTGTCAAAGTCTATTACCTCAGTTGGACGTTTCTGTCCCTTAAGTTGAAAAAAAAGAAAAAAAGAAAAGGGAGGGGGTGAGACAGAGAGGGAGAGAGTGAGAAGAGAGATAGAGAGAGAGAGAGAGAGAGAGGTAGGGGGTGAAAAAAAAGAGAAGCCATCAGCTGAGGTTTGCCAGGTCGATAAAGCTTTTAGATTTGGAGATGTTTTCAGGGGGAGCCCATTTCCTGCGGCTAAGAGTTGTTAATGGAGCTTAAGGAATTATCTTATGACTCTCGCTTTGAGAGGAGTTTATTTCAGCCCGGACCCTGCTCTACGTGTCGGGAGTGGCTGAATATGCTGCTGTCAAACCCGCTTAATGAAAAGTAACGCGTCGCTGATTACAGTTTTATTTGGTCTCTATGTAAAAAGCCCCTGTTAATTTACCATCCCGCTCCCTCTGTGTGTTCGTATTTGCCACGGCTGAATGATTTAGTTATAGCTGGCTTCTCTCTCTCTCTCTCTCTCTCTCTCTCTACTTCTACACACACTCCCTCTCGCTCTCTCACTCCATGTCCCTTTCTCTCAAACACAAAGCCACTTGGTTCGCAGGGTCTAATAAAAATCTGTCTTCATGCTAAATTAATTAAACGTCGAGGCTATATTGTCTTATCTGTGGGGACTTTAACCCTGGCCTAATTTTTCTATCAGTAGCCATGCAAAATTAAATACACAATTTTGCATGTAGGCTAATAAACATGCCCACATTAAGGGCAATGCGAATTAGAAATACTCCCCTATAAAAATAAGTGCCTATTAACTCTTCATGTACTTGTCAGAAATCTATTCCCTGACAACGTTTATGTCTCTCCGACAATTTATTTTGCGGACATGTCAACTTTGCTTTAGAAAATGCTGCAGGCAAGGTTTTTTTTCCCCCGAGCTAAGAAAGCAAATAAAAACATACATCCCGACTCCGATTTATAGAAAATCCCTTTTGTAAACCGTAGCACTTTCTTCCAAGAAGGGGGGGAGATGTGCCTTTCCCTATTAAAATTCATCACCGAAGCCTCCCCCTCTCCCTCCCTCCCATTGCCCCCTCTCTCTCAGGACAGACTGAGTCCCTCGAGAGCTCCACTTTCGCCATTACTGTCAAGTACCCTTGACTCCTTTCTTTTTGCCCTTTTATCTACAACAACTAATTCGAGTTCCTTTGCCCTTTTCACTTTTAGACGACGTGAGTGCCTCTCTCTCTCTCTCTCTCTCTCTCTCTCTCTCGCTCTTTCTTTCTCTCTCTCTCTCTCTCTCGCAAAGCCCTCTCACTTTTCAGAATCGGAATCAGCATCCAGGCTGTTTTTTCTGCAGGGGCCCCCGTCTCGTGTTGAAATTGAGGGGTTAGTGTCAAAACGAAAACTCTTCACTTCAAATAATTTCGCAGGGGCCTCCGTTTTGAACCCATTAATGGACGTATGGCGAATAACTTACCCTTTTGACAGCTGCATCAAGGGCGATGTTGAGATGTTTCGATAATATTATCGGAGGGCAGAGAGGGGAAATCAATCGCCTGACATGAAATATGACTGCGAACATCCCAATTACAGCCTGTTTAGAGGGAATTAATGAGGCAGATCTTAGATACTGATATTGTTCTGTCTTGAGGGTTGAGCAGCCTCATTTTCTCGCTGTCACTAAATGAGAGTGGATGTTTTCTGAAGAATAACACATGGTGGGAAGTGTTAGATTGCGGCCGCTTTAATTGGTTAAGAATGAGTTGGGATGAGGAAAAAAAGCTGCTTATTTAGCAGTAGATTGCGTTTAAAAAGGGGGCCCTTTCTTCTCAGTCGTGTAGTAGGCCCCCAATGTGTCTTGGTTATAAAGGACTGGGAAGAGTTTTACATGGATAAAAATAAAAAATGCAAAAGAACAAGAAAAGGGGTGTGTCCTGTATTTCAGCACCATGGACAGCAACTCCTACTATGAACCCAAAACCACAGGCGCTCTTCAGAAACCGACTGCTTTTTATTTTCAGTGAACAAAGTTGAGACGCTCTCACCCACTTCCTGGGAGAGCTGTGCATTTGTGAGAGTTTTTTTTTTTTCTTTTTTCTTTTCTTTTAATAATGATACTCAACTGCTGAGACCTAAATAATATTCAATTACATTTGCATGCGCATAGTAAAGAAAGAAGTAAAAAAAAAAATAAAAATCATGTAAACCTTAGGCCTATTTTTTTTTTATCCCCAATATGTAAACTTTTAGTTATACATTTCGATACGTTTTGTGCGTGCGTTGAATCAAACAAGCCAAACAGATCCGGATATTTCACTGGTGTAACAGTATATAGCTACCATTGCTTTTTTTTTAAAAAACAAAAAAAAACAAAACGAATGAAACTTAATGAAGGAATCATGGAGACGAAATAGGCTTTTCCATCCTACTTTCAGTCAGTCACACAAAGAGTCTCTCTCTTTTTGCAATAAAAGGGTAATTTGGTTTCGTTAGGAGCAGAAAAGTTTGTTGATAGTTTTTGGGAAAGTCATGGCACTGTCTTTGGAGGAGTCGTGATGCTGCTGCTGCTGCTGCAAGGCCGCCGAGCTCCTCTCAGCCTCCAGAATGGCGCCTTTGGTGTTCGTGGTCCAAGAGACGGTGGTGTTGGTCAGAGCCTGGCTCAAAGTGCTGTGCCTGAACAAGGGGTCGTGGAAAACCCCGTCCACCCAGTTTCTCAGGGTCGTGACCGGCGAGTCCTGCCTGTTGTCCAGGCCGGTCACGGGTGAGGTAGCGGCGGGGGATGGGCTGAGGGAGGAGGGCGGCGGCTGGCACCTCAGCATGCAGGATGGGTACTCAGTCTGGTTCAGGGACGTTGCAGTTTGGGCCAAAGACCAGATCCGAGGTTTTCCGTCTAATATCTGGTGCCCTTGCTGCTGCTGCTGCTGCTGCTGTTGGTTATAGCATGCTTTCACCTGCTGTCTGCTGTCCGCTTGGAAATCCTCCGGGTTCGTTTTGAGACAGCCTTTGCTCAAGTCCTGCTCCCCTCCCAGAGAAACAGGGATGGAGATTTTCAGAGACGAGTCCTTGATGAGGTGTTCGCTGGGGCAGTCGCCCGTCGTGGACATGTGTGTGTTCATGTGGTATCGGTGCTTCAGCTCACACTCCGAGCTCTCAGACTCCAGCGTGTCGAAATCGTCCAAGTCGCTCAGCTGGAGGTCTTTATCAGGCCGACTTCTGGTCTCTGGGAGGAAGAGAACAGAGAGGAGAGAGCAAGCATGTTAGTGGAAGATGTGGCTTCAGATCTGACTCTGGAGTCAAGAGTTGGACTTGGAATCACACGGGTAAAATTACAGTTGTTCGAGTTGAATCAAGGGAGTCATGTTTACAGCCTGATTGTGGCAAATAAATATTCAGCCGGTGACCGTCATGAGGAAAACATTTTTTTTTAAACAATCAGTCTCATCATAAATCAAGTTCCCCCCACATACATTAATTTATGAACGACTTCAAATATTAACTTTATGAATTTAAGCCCATCAGAAATGTTAAGTCATGATCAGCTCAAAAAGAAAGAACAACCTCAACATTAAAAAGGAACCTAAGCTTAGTTTGATCCATTATATCCATGTGTGAAACTGACAGAGGCCTGTCCAGAGTTTAACGTTTGTTATGATGACCAAAGTCATCATACTCTGCTGATGTAGTTCCATTTTAAAAAAATACAAATACATCTTTTTTTTTTAGCACAGTGCACATTAAAATAATAAAATGTTGAACTAAACAAATTGTAAGGCCTCTTTGTCCTTGGTTACTTATTATCAGTATGATGCAGTTTATAACAATAACAGCATCATACAAATACTTTTCTTTGTTTAATTATGGCTATTTAAAATAAAATAAGATGTAAGACTTATGGGGTTTTAGAGAATCAAATCACTCATAGTATATTTTATCAAATCTCATTCCAATGAGCCATTTTTAAAACAAAAGAAACCAGTTTATAGCGTATCTGATGTGAGCAGATTTAAGTTTTCAGTATCTGTGCTAGGAGTGTGATCATTGTTATTGTTCTCTTAGTTGTTCTTCAACGCTTATATTGATTCATGCTGATCACTCCACGTGAATAACTGTGATAGTAATAGAGAAACAGTTGCTAAAACTGGCTATTTACACGTGCTCTCATTGCAAGCTAAAGTTAAAAGAATGGTTAAGAATGTTTCTATTTCAAAAAAGTGCCATTATCGCAACCACAAAGACACTTTAAAGAGCAGATGTCATGAATACGTAGTTTTTAAACATGCTTTTGAGACAAAAGATGCCTGTAATATACTAAAAATAATTCAGCATTAAGCTTTATAGTCTTTATTTCTACAGAACAACACGACATTGTGACACTAACCATCCTCATTGTTCTCGCTTTTTATCTGCTCCTCCTGAGACCCATCCTCATCCTCATCATATCTCTTCTCCTCTGAGCCCTTGTTTCTGGGCGGCCAGGTCATCTTGTTCTCCTTCTTGAGCCTCCTCCTGGCATTTGCGAACCAGGTGGAGACCTGCGTCAGGGTCATCTTGGTGATGATGGCCAGCATGATCTTCTCCCCTTTAGTTGGATACGGGTTCTTCCTGTGCTCCTGCAGCCAGGCCTTCAGCGTGCTGGTTGTCTCACGTGTGGCGTTCTTCCGCCTCGTTCCCCCGTCCATGGAACCATATCTGTTAATGAGAAGAACACAACCACGATGGTTACGAGAAAGTAAACATAATACGTGATGCTTGTTGCATGACAATTTCGAATGTGCTGTCCTGGCAGTTTATCTCCTGAAAACCATGACAGAGCCATCTGCTTCCTGGAATCTTCTTAAATTTATGCATAACGTGCACTATAAGCTCAACAGTCCCACTCATAAACCTCTCTGCTGCTAGAACTGTTTTAAGATCTGCAAATTAAAAGTAGACATCGCAAACAAATGTCAGTTAAGAGACATAATAAATTAAGTACAGGAGAGGGGCGGGTAAGGACTAAACCAGCCCCCTTTAAACACACCATACAGTATGTATTGTTGATATAAGCATTGGACCTACTAGGATTATGGGCAGTATAGTGTCCAAGATGGAAGACAGGGGTGACTTTGTTTTACTTAACTTCCCTGAAACCCTTCCGACAATACCTCTGCAGCGTCTAAACTGTTATCTAAAGTAAATCTGCTATCAGTATCTTTTGGAAATATATAAATGATTCTACCAAGTAAACTGTTTTGCCAGTAATAATGACAAGTGTATCTGGACTGCTGTATACAGATATATATTTTTTTCAGTGTCAATGTATTAAAACAATTCTTAGTGCAGTTTACGACTCCCTCGCTAACCTCTCCAACCATAGACCTACATTTAAAATGCACGGTGTTGATTTTCAGTCAGCAGTGAGCTGTAAAAGTCCTCTCAGGGGAGGCTTTTATGAGGCCTTTATTGCTCCGTATAGCGTAGTGCAGGTCAAGCACTGCTAAGGGAATCAAAAGGAGAGGAGCGCTGCACCTTTCCATACCCCGTGTTGTTAGATAAAGTAGACTGTAAAATTGCTTTATTGAGTGTAATGATGAGCCCTCAGGTGAAAGACGGGCGCAGACAGAGTGGTAGTGCTGTAGGCCTGAATGTTTCTCTCAGTGCCGCTAATTCTGTTTCGCCGTAGATCTAGGCCTTTTGCTGCATGTGCACTTAATGGCACTCCTGCTGACACCTATTGCACTTCATACTGAATTTAGAGTGATTGGTAAAAGAAGCTGGATTAAGTGAACTCTCATTTTGCTATGAAGCTAATCAATATGACACTTTGCTGGTCAATTAACACACAATATTAAGAAAACAAGAGCGTTTTCTGTGCTATCCCAGGCTGTTCTGTTAGCGCTGGCTTCCTTGAAGTGGCTGCTTCAGTTCAAAGAGCATGCTGATCACAATTAACCGAATCAGGTGTAGTTGTCATTCATGCCATACATTTTCAGCACATCGCAGACTTCATTGGGATGTCATCTCATTATTGGGAGGACCTTTCGATATGGCAGGCATGCTCTTCACAGCACTAAAGAGGCCTCATGTCTTTCTGAGAGGGGCATGGGTCTTCTGAAGCACATCACCTCATCAGGGAAGAAATGTGTCATGAGATGAAGGTGATCACCCAGTGTTGCTGGACGTGATGAGAATGACCTTGACCTCTCAGGGGTGGTTGATTTAATGCTGGGAAAACTCAGCCTTCACTAGTGCACAGTACTTTAAGAGTTATCGGCTGCCTAAATGTTGATCACATCCTGTTTTAGCCACTTAAAGCAGCTGACATAAGCCTGGAAACCTGTGTGACACTGGACTCAACTCAATAAAGGTCTGATCTAATCCTTACGGGACACATTGATTCTCCATGCTGTACTACATTATATTAAACCATACAGTTCACTCATGGTGGTTTAACGTTAGAAATATCAACAAAAGTAACATTTTCACAGAAACAACATACCTGTCATACTGATACTGTCCCAAAGTAGGATCATAAGGATAGTAGGCTGTTGCCTGGGTTATTCCTGCATGTGCAGAAGCTGTGGCATCTTTAGTATCAAACGTGCCCTGCAATCATACACAAAGACAAGAGTTTTAAAGAGTAACACAAACAGGACATTTGTTTTGTTACATAAATGACTCACTTGGTGCTGAAAAATTATAAAGATAAAAAGATTAGAAATAAGCTTTTAACGGAACAGGTTTATAAGCTTGTTCATCGCAGGGATCTGAGCAAATAAATCTGTGAGAGAGCTCCAGGAGAGTTTCTTTTTTTTCAATTATTATAGAACAAATCATCAATTCCAAAATCATATAGCTTTTTTAATAGTCTTCTCACCACAATTTTACCAGGCATGTTTGCACTTAATGTATGTGAACACTAAACCAGCTGGAACAAACTGCATTCTTAGATTTTAGAGGCCCATATATTTCTGCTGGGGTCTCCTATACTTCAGAATTCATTTTTAACAGCATTTTGATAATGTCATTAAATGCTGAGTCTTCAAAGTTTGTAAAAAATCAACTCATTTCCAACGTAAACCAGTTTGTCTCAGTATTAATGAAACGATTTAACTTTTTTTTTCTGCCTTGTTTCTTCAAAACAGTTTGTCTCAAAGCAAACTCTGACTCAAGAAAGTGAGCCTATCTTGCCCTGCTGAGAAGTATTTTTCAATTACTAAAGAAACGTTGGCTCTAAGGGTGATATGAGGATAAATCACCTACTGTAAAAGGTAGGTATTTTGCGGTGTGGAGCATAAAAAAGGAGGAGAGGTGCGCCTGGCTCAAGCGTCAGCACCCTGCGGCTCCATTAATCAATGCCAAGAAGGATCATATGAAGGGCTTACCAGCGAGTAGAAAGCCGAGGCGTCCGTGCCGTATGTAACGTAATTCCCATAGCCTTGACCGCCAGTGTAGGGGCTCCCGTACACGCCCAGAGCGGCGGCTGAGCTGAGTTCATGCCTCGCCGTGGCCAGCAGCCGGCTCTCGTACACGGGACAGTAGACCGGTGTCTGCCCGGACGCCGCTACACCAGAGTCGGCTATGGATCTGCCGGTGGACTCGCAGCAAGTGGTCAGAGAGTTGGTTGTCATCAGGAACTGGGTGGAGACCGAGAGAGAATTGATCTTTTTAAAAAAAGTTACTGGTATGCTTCATTTGATTCTACATTGAAACTAAATCAAATGTTACTCTTAAGCACTTTGATCTGGAAGTTAGTTTATAACTTTTATTTGTATTTTTTAATAAGAAAAAAATCGTGTCAGACAAATAAACACGATTATGTTTCAAACATTGTTTAAGTGTCCGAGGAATTAAACCTGTTAGTAAGTTTTTGACAATAGATGATTTTGCTCACATGAACTCGCACATTTTTTTTTTCCAGAATTTCAATCTATAAAAACTCAAATTCAACATCAAATGGCTTGGAAAGGCTGATATTTGATAAAGAATGATATTCTTGTGGTAATGTGCGCGTAAAACGTGTCCAAAAACGACTCGTCTGTTAGCTTTGCTCCAGATGAAACACATGCGTTACACACAGACAAGACATGTTTTCCCAGCATCGCCCAGTAATACCAAAAGTAATGCCCAAATGATTTTTTATGGCTCAAAGCCAAAACAAAACAGCAGCCGTGTTATGGCGCAAAGCACACACAGCGTGTGCAGAACAAGTTGCCATGTGTGTTCCAGCGCAGATAAACATATGGTTGACATTACAGAGCGGCTATTATCTTGCAGAAATCAGTGATCGGGAGGTCGGGGGTTACGCTGTTTTTTTGGTTATCCTCTTCTTACCCCTTTTCTACCGCTGCAGGAACACAGCTATCACTGTCTGTAACGCAATACCTTTCCGATTTCCGAAAGGACTGTGACAGCTTCCCTGATTCTTGGCCAAAACGCGTAAAAGGATCACGCTTAAATCGATGAGTCAATCAATCGCTGCGATATGAAAACCAAAACAACACATTAAATGAACAAAAGGCGGCTGCATGAACTTACTTGTGGAGCAGACGAATAGGGATATCCAAATTGTGGATATGACATGGTAGAGAGGTCCCCCAATATCCAGAAATAAAGCGAGACTGAAGGTCTCCACTCTAACGCAGGCTGCGGCTCTGTTTGACTGTACCAATTGATTGGTAAGCACAGACTCCTAGGATGCTTATAGGGCGAAGCAGAGTAGCATGTTTAATTTGTGTAAAATGCCCCCCACTCAAACGCCTTTCAACGGGGAAAAAAAATAAAAAAATAAAGTAAGAAAATCTTGTAGCGTTCCCTTTTCTTTCTTAAGACCCTTAGAAATAGATACATGCATTAAGGCGACGTAGACTTTCTTCGCCTGGAATAATCACTTTGTTGTCAGATACATATTTTTGCCTTATAAAAAAGTAGTATAAAAGACGTCAGCAGCAGAGGCAGGTTGTTTTAAACGGCGGCGACTCTGACGTCAGAAGTTTCCCACTCTAAAAATGACCAGACTGTAACTTTAATATGCACTTCCTTTCTCAGGATGACGACGAAAACAGAAAGAAGAATCAAACAAAAAAATCTATGACAGGGTACATGGGGAGGGATAACTTAAAAGAAAAAAAAAAGATGTCCTGGAGATTCATTTGCTTTCCCAATCAATCAATTAGGCCAATCAATGTCTTGAATATGCAAACGTATGTATCGGTTTAAATGCATTAGGCCTAATTAAGCCCATTCTTATCATTCCTGCGCACTGATGCTAATCACACGGGGAACTAATTGATTTCAAATTAATTAGTAAAGAATATTTTCATACTGAGCAGAGAAACAAGTTTCAGCCCATCAGCAGTTTAAGAAAATACGTTCACGAAAACAAATGCATTTGCAAATGCACAAATATGAATATATATATAATGTTTAGATTATTCTTATCATTATTTCAAATTTAATTGCCAACTTAAAAACAGATCATCATTTGGTTTCACATTATGCTCATCCACCTGGAGCAATGAGTCCCTGGGGTGTTGTAATAATTACCCCAATGCTTCCCCAACAGTGCTTAATAGGATGTCGTTTGAATGAACTTTGCGCCTCTGCACGTGAACTTCACACTATTATTGGTGCAAACCCCGAGATGTGCTCAGGAATAAAACATATGTATCTATCTATTCTAGTCTAAGTCTATTATCTATCTATCTATCTAAATCTAATCTAATCTATCTTATCTATCTATCTATCTATCTATCTCAGCATCCCTCCCTCCCTTTCTGTAATGCACGCGTGTTTTGTTTCAGTGTAAAATGGTGAAACTAACCAAAACAGCCCAAAAAGCTCCAAACTCGCTCGCCGGTGCGCCGGTTGCTTGGAGAATCCCGGGTTGAGACATGTGGATAGCCCCGGGGGTCACTCCTCAAATTAATGATGATGTACTCCTCCTCCCTTCTCTCCCTCCTCCTTCTCCTCCTTCGCTCCTCTCCAGCTGGATCTCTGCCTGCCGGTGACAGGTCGATTGAGAGTGATTGATGACTATCTAGGGGACCGGGGCCAACATAATAATATGATACGGGCACCTTGCAATAATTGCTCGCTTTCATTTACAGATGAAAGAAGTAATAAACAGAAATAGGGACGCGGAGAGCGTCGGTTAAGTAGTCTAACTTTTGTCTTTCTTTTTCTCTGTTTTTATTTTGCGAGGAAGGTGTGGTGGAGGGGCGGCAGGGTGGGCTGTATAAAAATGTCTGTTCTCTCTTTCATTTTGACAAATTGAATTATAGGGGGTTAGTACCTCCAAGCAAATGACCGCATTAACGCTGTGAACGGGGGGGTGGGGGGGTCAAAAGGGATCAGCCAGCGCTTTTTAATTTGCATTAACTCTAATGCCACCTTAACATTAACAACCCGTCTGAACCGCTCAACCATACACTCACTCTCACAGACGCACACACACACTTTTGTCTTATTAATTTAGACTTTTTCTTTTTTTAAATTCATTGGGGTTAATGTGGCACGTAGTGCATTAAGGCAGGGCGGGACCCAATTTATCTTCAACATCACACCCTGTGGATGAAACAGAAAGTGTTGACACGTTGATTTTGGAGATGTGGGAGCGCACCTGACAGCACAAACACACACACACTCACACACTCACACACAAACAGGCGCGCACTCATACACGCATACTTGGCATGCATTCTTTCATAGAGATATATTCTGTAATACTTTTCTTTATTGCCCTTTGCACCGACCTCTACCCCTGCGCGTATAGAATTAGGCTGGAGACAGTGGAAGCATCTGATCGGCACATTCACTAAACTATACTGCCCACATACCCCCCCTGTATACCTTTTCATTATCCACTGCGTTACCCAGTGTTATCGGACGCCTATAATAAAATATTTAGGCGCACTAGTATATGCTTTTAGACGGAAAATGAAGGAGACGGCAGGAGTTCATGCTTGTTTAGCGTTAAAAGATTAAAACAGAAGCTTCTTCTTCTTCTTTTTTTTTTTTTCTTTTTTTCTTGGACAGATGTGGGGAAGCAGGGATGCTCTGCGTTTAAAACTGGAGCAAGTGAGGGATAAGATGCTATTCCAGTTCAGGACAAAGGAGCTTTGCCTATAATGGTCTCATTCTTTCTCTTTTTTTGTTGTGAAATTAAACACAATGATCAACGAGTTATTATCAGTTCTAAATTATCCAGATTAATGAACAACCTGAAGATGATTTCACTGTATAGATTAGGACAGATAGCAGCGTTCAGCAGTGATCTAGTGTAGGAGCATCCATCATATTGATGAGTAGCATAAATCAACTGCTTCACTGGAATTAGACTAACTAATGGGGCAATTATGATTGTATCACAATTCAACTTTGGAGTCCTACATGTAACCATAAAGATCTTTGGTTTTATGTTCATTTAGTTATGTATTTAAGGTTCTTTTTTTAAATGTTTTATTTATTGTCAGATGGCATCGACGTCAAACTACTGTAATCTGAATAATAACTGTGTTGCACTTTGAGGTAAGCCTGCTAATTTGCATCTGCTTTCCAACTAAACTCATATTAAAAAGTTTCACAGAAACATCGTAATCATGAAGGTGTCACTTTCCTGATAATCTGTCGTTGATTAATGAGCCACAAGGAGGGGAGTGTGTGAGTGTGCCTCTGTGTGTGTGTGTGTGTGTGTGTGTAAGTAAGAAACACAAAGGGAGAGAGAGAAAGAGAGAGGTGAAAGGAGGAGGGTAAAACACTTCCTTTTCTCCCAAATTTGAGTCAGCTGAGTTTCAAGGGAGACAGGCTCCAATACAAAGGTCATCTGTGTCTGCTCAATCTTTCATGGCATGGGTGATTGTTTTATGTCTTAGGTTGCTTGTGAATTAACACATTTATTGACACTGACCATGGGTATTATGGCTCAGAGTATTATGGTAATCCCACCTCACAACACTTCAATTTAAATGAACCATATGTTGTGCAGATTGTAAAGAATTTTTTGTTTTGATGATTAACAAATTTGACTTGAATCAACTTGATTTACACACAGTAGTCTGTCCATCTCTTCAACAACAGAAATCACTGAAATCTGCACAGTCTCAATCTACAACATTTGAAAAATACCCTCCTAAAAATTAAGTTTAATGCCTTTTTTTAGTAGCCTTTACCACAAAAGACCAGAGTTAGTGACCCTATATATAATATATAATATAAAATAAGTAATAATCAGTTTATACAGTGATGTGGTGGAGTTGCAGACTAGAGCTGCTGGAATATTACGTCCCTGATTAGAGTCACATGTCAGTTATAATTTTATAAAAAAATTATAATAATAATAATTATAATTCTAAAAAAAATTAAATGAGAAACAGTTTGTCTGATTCTGGTCAGTATGATACATATTTGTGAACATAAGCAACTTTAGGAACTTTTGAGTCAAAGTATGAAATCAACCATAGTCTGCAACTTAGGGATGCTGACAGCAACCTGTTAGATCGCTTGGGTTATTCATAATCTTAATACAACATTTATTTTGAACTCCAAATCAGTCATATCAAACTACTTTTTACACAAAAAACAAAAACAACACTTTTTTAAAAAAAGGGATTGGTTTTTTTTTGCTGGCAACACTTCTGTCTTTTGAGTAGGGGAGAGTTGTTCTTGCCTTGAGCTAAATTTGTGCTCAAGGTAGCTTTGAGTGAGCAGTTTATTTTCACAGATTCAGATTGGAGTGGCTTAAGATCACAGGCAAAATGTGTGAATTTCGCTCTGAGTTTTGGACAGTACTGAGGGTTGAGTGAGCAAAGAAACAGGGAACTTGCCTCAATCAAGTGCGGTTCAGTGATAGTGCTGATGTTGACCTCTGCCGTGTTCAAACTCCCCAATGTGGGTTAGAAGCAGGTGAAAGAAGAACTCAGTTTGTTGACTTCTTCAAAATGTTGTTTTGTATCTCCTCATCTCTCATTCCGTCAGTTTTGAATCTTATCCTCTGTCATATTTATTAAAAAGTTCATGTTTAGCCAAAATTGTCAGCTTATAACCTTCTGCTCAGTTCTGCTGTTTTGTTACATAAAATATGAGTTCATTCCAAATGTATTGTATTTCAGCCTGTGAGAGGATAATGTTTCAGCGCTCTGATGTCTTATGGTCCACTGTCTCAGGTGCTGTTTTTTGAGTCAACAATGTAGAAACCCAAGCTGACCTCAATAGTTGAAGACAGCTACACAGGCCGACTTGCTCTATGACATGAAGC